GATGTCCCTGACGATGCCCGCTACGCTGAGATAATGAGCGGTGAAAATCTGGTATTTTCGGGCCGAAACCAGACTCGACAGATCAGTGTGAACTGCGACTTCTCTCGAAGTGTTTCCAGTGTGTTGGCTTCCGGTCGCCGCTGTGTAGCGGCCATAGTGGCGCTGACTCACGTAATTACTACGCAGAGTTTACTATACATCCCGTGAGGTCGGCACAGTGGGGTCAATCACTAGGCAATCGAATAACAGACGTCATTCGGGACACGCGAGGTTTCCCGAAGTTATAAGCACTTCGGAGAGGGACGCCGAGTTCACAGCTGATCTCGAGTCTGTTTCGCGAAAAATACCAAGATTTTCGCCGCTCATTACTCACGTAGGGGCATCGTAGGGACATGCGGTTTGTTTGAATACTGAACAAGGTAAGACATGCTAATCAATAATACTGCAAAGGATCGTCAAATAAAATGAAAAGTGTTATTAATTCGACTAAACTGACAGCAATGGTTTTCAGCATTTTACCCCTTGTACGTCTCGCTTCTTTATCTGCTCTTAGATTAATAAATGCTTGTAGCAATACATTATATGTACCAAGCAAAACCAAACATTCAAGCATAAAAGGTATCTCCACCAAGCACACCCGAACATGTACAGACCACCATGCTGAATTATGTAAATAAGACCCCCCTTCAAACAAAATTTAAGCTATCCTAACTACCCAAACTTTCAGCCCGGGCGGTGAAGGGCAAACAACGATTTTGGGCAGCCAAGGCGGCAGGCACACGCAATTGAACTCTGTATTGGAATGATGCTGTCATCGCGGTGATGCTAATTTATGTAGAGTAAACGGTAATGAGTATTTACCTTCGGTTACTGTATTGCGTTGAAATCTGAGTATGACCACCCAATCTGCATGGCACACGTTTGACTCTGTGTTGGAAGATGTTGCTGAATAAGTGATGAGGAGTTATTTGTGATACTTGCAAAAAGATTAAGAGTAATTAAATTTAGTAATTAAGATTCCCAAAGTCCCCGGGATTACGTG